ACACTCTCACACACTCACACTCTCACACACAGTACAGTAGGTTTTATGATTTGTTATTTAGACATGATTTCTAAAATATAATTTAGGCATTAAAACATAACCCAGTAAAGTTCAAACAGAAAAGCAGAATTTGGTAAAGAATTAAGTTGTGGTTGCTACAAAGTGGTTGCCGAGCAACAGACAAACGTAAACAAAGGTGTGTGTTACTTTGTAGAGTCATTTACAACAGCTTTGAACGCGGCTCAGCCAATCAGAATCAAGCACCGGAACTATCCGTTTTGTGTGATTGTTTCTCTCAGATCTCCCTGGAGTAATAAATACGAGCCTCCGATCGACGACGGCGCCATGCCCTCGGCTCGTCTGCGCAAGCTGGAGGTGGAGGCTAACAATGCCTTCGACCAGTACAGAGACCTGTGAGTACACGCCCACGACACGCCCCCCTGCGCTCTGATTGGCCGGCAGCCGTGATTGACGCTCCGCTCGCTCTCTCGCAGGTATTTCGAGGGCGGGGTTTCCTCCGTCTACCTGTGGGATCTGGATCACGGATTCGCCGGAGTCATCCTCATCAAGAAAGCTGGAGACGGCTCCAAGAAGATCAAGGGATGCTGGGACTCCATCCACGTGGTGGAGGTGCAGGTGAGAGCCGGCGCTCCACTTCCTGTGCAGACAGGAAGTCCGTGATTATTGTAGCTCTCGAGTCATTTGTCAAGCTCAGCTATTCAACGCTGCTACTGAAATTATTCAAACTTTACAAATTATACAAGAATTCATTCAAATGAAGGAAAACTTAGATTTATGAAAAAATTGTGTTGGGTAGTGAGGTTTTGTTTTTTGCTTTATTACATTTATTTATGGAACATATTGTAAGTTTCAGTAGTTTGGAAAACCGTTTTAAAGTCTCTTCTGCTCACCGAGACTGCGTTTATTTGATCAAAAATACATTTTGTGAAATATTTTTGTAATTTAAAATAACAATTTTTTATCTAAAAATAAATAAAGTTAGATTTGTTGTTGTTGTTGTTTACTGCCAGTAAATAATGTGAACTGCTTTTATCTCCCAAATCTTGGTAACATGGTTTCAAAAAATGTAAAGAATATCTAAGATTAATTAAAAAATAAAGCAGCTCATAGAATATGATATAATTTGACCATTCGGCGTTGACTATGTTATTGTAAGAAATATTTTATAGTTTATTCAAATTAACAAATAATCAGATTTATTTTTTTAAAAATAGTGTATTTTTTATTTACTATATGTTTAACATTTAAAAAAATTGTAAATAATTATTATAATTTTTTCTTTATATTTTGCCTGTTTATTTATTTATTTTTACATTTCTGACAATGTAATAGTGCTAGTAAGTAACCATTTAAACTTTCTTTATGTTCCAGGTTTTGGTAAAATGGTTTCAAAAATTGCGAACCAGATAAAAATAAAATAAAATGCCTCATAATTAGTTTGAGCATCCGAAAGTGACTATATTATGATGATATATTATTATTATAAATAAAACTTATTGATACCAATGGATAAATAATGACATTTATGGAAAATAGGTTTAACCAACTTGCACGTTTTGTCATTTTTCATCTTTTTTTTTTTTTGCCTGTTTTTTTTTATTTTTTATTTTAATTTCTGATCGTTATTGCTTGTAAGTCACACTTTAAACTCTTTCTATGTTCCAGGTTTTGGTAAAATGGTTTCAAAAATTTTAAACCAGATGAAAATAAAATAAAATGGCTCATATAATTAGTTTCACCACCTGAGGGTGACTATATTATTATGATATATTATTAAATTAAATATCATTTATTCAAATTAATAAAATAATGAATTTTATGGAATAAAGGTTTAACTAACTTTATTGTCATTGTCTTTCTTTTTTCTTTTTTTCTTTTTTTTCTAGTAAATAAAACACACGTTACTGCATAATTCATGAATGACAAGATGCATGTAAAATAAAAACATTTTATGTCGGGAGGTGAAACTAAAAACATCAGGAGTTCTGAAACGAGCGAAAGCGGGCAGAAATATTTGCGCGCTATCACAGAGAGTTTGCGAGTTACGAGGAGTTTAATACACGAACATGTATCATAGCCTACCACTGAAATTACCTGAGCAGTTTTAATGTTCTACAAGAAAAGAAACATCATTCAATAACGTGCGTTCATTGCATGGACGGGGCACGAGCATAATATAAGCGTCTTGTAGGCTTTACAGTTCAGTTGAAAGCTTTCCCCTTTTGACTTGCTGTTAATGTTGAATGTAAGAATTGCTTACTATAGCAACAGTCGGCTCGACTGTATTATCCAGTGATGCAGACTATTCAACTTTTTCTTTTGTCAAATTCCGCCGTTTTGAATTGAAAGTTGGGCTGTCAATCATTTACGTGATTCATGTAATTCATAATTATTGTGTCGACGATAGCATTTTCTGTCTTGCGTTTTCAACATATTAGGAATACAACTAAAATTGAATGGGTGCATATTTTAAAATAAAAATATTATTGTTGTGATGTAACATTTTGGTTTCAAAAATATAGTGGTCTGGTGCCATAGAATGGAAAACCGTATTTACCTTGGCATAGTTGAATAATAACAGTTCTGTAAGTTCTGTACA